GCCCCACCGATGGGCTCGGTCGTCCCGAATACCGGCGGCTGTGCACGGGGAGGGTGTAGGCGAGGATAGGCGGCAGGTCTTTGTGGCAGCCCACTAATAACGGGAGTTTTCCAGTCCGTGCTGGGCGTGGAACGGTGACAGTCGTGCTTCAGCTCGGAGGATGGTGTTGGGCTAGGTGTATATATTCCGTGGGGAGGAGAAGCGGGTTTGAAATAGCGAACTTGACGTAAAAAGTCTGCTGTAGGTGTGAGGTGGTATTAATAGTCCAGGAGAAAGGTAATGAAGCTGTAGTAGGAAAATACAAAGTTTCCATGGAAATAAAGGTGGTATCAATTTCAGGGGCAGACTTTGTGTCTGCAAAAGTACCTTGTTAACCTGAATTTGTAGTTCTGACACTGAAACTAACACAAGGAAATAGACTAGGTAGTTTGCACTGATAATATAATACAGAATATAAATTCTGCTAGATCTGTGAATTTTTAGTGTCATAGGTTGGTAGGGAAGAAGAGCCACATTCACTTTAAAATTGAGTTTGCTCTTCAGGCTAATTGCTAGGATGGTACCTATGGTGCAACTGAGCCAGCCAGCTCATGGCAGTGCTGCGGTTTGCCACGGAGACATGTGCTGCCCACCTCTTCTCCTAGCCAAGTCAGGGCCTCGTGTCTTTGCCTGAGGGATCCCTCTTGAGGCCAGTGGAATTTTGCAGAGATCCATGGTGAGAAAACAGCAACCCTTTGCCAGGGAAACTGGGTTTGTACTGTAAACACTGGGACTCTTCTGGTGAAAATGGCATGTATGTGGTGCTTAGTTTAGTTTAGATGATCGTAGAATCATAGAATTGTTTGGGTTGAAAGGGACCTTAAAGCCAACCTGGCCCTGAACACCTCCAGGGATGGGGCATCCCAGGGATGATGAACCCATATATTTAAGGTGCTGCATAATATATCTTGAATACTAATTCTTTTTTTTAATTGTGTTTTTTTTTTTTTTTAAATTATTGTTTCATTTTAAAAGGCCGGGTACCGTGGCTCTCCGTGAAATCAGGCGCTATCAAAAGTCGACCGAACTTTTGATCCGCAAACTTCCCTTCCAGCGCCTGGTGCGTGAAATTGCTCAGGACTTCAAAACAGATCTGCGCTTTCAGAGCGCTGCCATCGGTGCTTTGCAGGTGAGCGTTACCGGGGAGTTAGTGCTCTGTCCGGGTGGCAGTCAGGCTGGGGGGGTTCCTGGGGAAAAGCTGGGGTCGGTGCTGTCAGTGCCCCCCCAAAACCTGGGGGCTGACGGTAAGGGAGGGCTCTGCCTCCTGTCCCATTGGCCAGCTCGTTTCTTGGGTTAGCCCCAGGTCTGCCTGATTGGTGGGCTGCCGCGGTGGGCATGGCCTCTCCCGGGGTTGGGGGAAGGGGGCGCCGAAATGGTGGGGATGTGCCCCTCCGCCTTCCCTTGCTCAGGATGGACCTGGTGACGCCCTACAGGTACCACAGGTTAAAATAGTGCAGTGACAGGTCCGCAGCTCCTTACAATGGTGGGGAGGCTGCTTTTTTGGTTCATTTTTGTTGTGGGGTTTTTGTTTTTTTTTTTTTGTATAGCCCCCACCCCTCAAGTAGTTGCACTTGACGGAACAGTGCATCTTATTAAATGATACTTAACATAAATCTGTTTCCTCAGTCCTCGAGCTTTGTTAGAGGCTTTGCCTGTGAAAGCTGTGCAGTCCGAGAGGAAAGTGTTATCGTGTAAAGCTTGTTCTGGTGTATGCAAATGGCGGTCTCGATATCCTCAAATGCTCTTTAAAGAAAAACAGCTCAATAAGCCATATCTAAACACAGTTAGGGAAATAAGTGCTTTTGTATGACGTAGTTGATGCTAAACACATAATGTTTTAAATATATTAGTTAAATAACTTATTTAGAATATATTGAGGGTGAAATATTGATTACTCTTTCTGGCCCAAATTCTTATATCTAGATTACAGCCACTCCAAGACTGTGTTCTTATCATGGGAATGTTTCCCTCTCATGATAGAAATAACACTCATGATTAAATATAGGACTTTGCTGTTCTTTTAGCTGTTGAAAGATTGTTTCAGAACCTATCTGTGGTTGTAGAATATCTGATACCCAGGCAATATGGTCTTTTTCTGGTTAATGACTTCCACTCGATAAGGGCTAGAACGTATGCTGTGAGATGCTGTAAACTTGAGCACATGCTCAGCTTCAAAAGGTGACTGTGTGCATTCACAAAGTTGCTGCTTTTGCTTTTGGTGGTTGTTCTGTCTTCACTGCTGTGAGTCAATGTGGTAGTTCTTAAATCCTGAGGTTTACCTGTGTGTCTCTTTGTCAGGAGCTGCTTATTAAAGTTCAGTCAGTAGTTAATACATTTCAGAAGGCTGCATTTTGCATTAAGCAGTTGTTGGTATAGAACTTGTTTATGTATTATTCCTAGTGCTTCCTGCTTGCATATTTGCAAAAAACCACTTTTAACCCCTTTGGTACCATGTTGTTCATGCCAGCATGGCTTATTTGGCAAAGTGTCTTTAACTTTTCATGTAGTGATTTAGCAAAACTGTGTTAGGGGAACTTATGGTAGCCATATTCTACTGGATATGAAATGACTTAATTACTACAGCAGATGAGGTCTGTAGTATGAATATTTTTCTTTCTTTGTGTTAAATACTCTGTGTTTTTTAAACAGGAACTTTGAACTTAATAAGTTGATTTTTGCAGTTCCTGGTAATGAAATGGTTCACAGAAGCTGTTGTCTTGCATGTATTCTAGAAAGGTGGATCTCAGCCTCCTTTCTGTAAGCGAACACCATCATTCTTGCTTTCTCACCCCAGCCATGTGCTGTGTCCTGGTCTACATGCTGGTTGGATGTTAGCATGCCAAGATGCTTCCTAGGAGATTGTTAGGTGTTAGAATTCTGTATCAACCCAAAAATGCGTGAACAGTTACCATTGCTGTGCTGGGCTTAATAGCAGCTAACTTGACATGAGCCAGAAGCACAATTGGGTCCAACAGAGCATCTGCCTAACCCAGAATCCTGTCTGCAGTGGTTCAGTAGCAGACAACACTCTGGTCAGAGTTGTGGTTTTCCCAGAATAGGGCTTGTCCTTTTCCCTACCAAGTGCTGGCCGTGTGATTGTCACAGGTGCGAGGTGAGAACCTGCTGTGATGGTGGGGGGGCTGTGGTGTGTGCCCCAAATAGACAGGGGTGCAGAGGCAGGAAGAAAGTATAGGAACAGAACAAGTGTCTGATGGTAATTCTCAGACTGCTCTCCTGTTCTTGGTGATTCAAGGAGTTCCTGAGTCAAAGGTGGTGTTGTCTTATATCTAATAATCCCCAGTACATTTTTTTTCTGCTGAGTTTTAACTTCTGAATTAAACGACGTCTTCAGTATCCTATGACAAGGAGCTGTGTGCCAAAACTGTGTTGTGAAGGAATACCTGCTCTTTTCCCGAGCACCTGCCAATTTCACCTGATGCTCAATAGCTCTTGCTGTGAAAGAGGCAGCAGACAAGTCACTTCACTAGTGTAATCCAGCCTTTAGAAAGAGAAATTCCTAAACAAACTAACCTTTTGATAAGACAACCCATTATCTTGTGAGAGTCCCATCAGAATATTTGTTCAGTTGTGTTCTGGAGGATGTCTTCACCAAATGGCAGTAGTACGCAACTTTGAAATAGAATGTTACTTGGTGGTTTATAAGAAAATGGAGGCGCTTATTTTTTGAGAATCTAAAACCTTTGATGTTTCTGAGTAATAAAGATAGAAGCCTAAACTTAATGCCATGCTAGGTTGTACATTGAATTACTGTTTTTTTTCCTAGTGCTCAGAGAGTGAAAGTGTTCTTGACTCTTTTCTTCTTTTCTTTTAGGAGGCAAGTGAAGCCTACTTGGTTGGCCTGTTTGAAGATACCAACCTGTGTGCTATCCATGCCAAACGTGTCACAATCATGCCAAAAGATATCCAGCTAGCACGCCGCATACGTGGAGAGCGTGCCTAAACTTCACCATGATGGGTTTGTCATTCTCGAAGCAAAATCTTCTTCCTGTTATTGGTAGTAATGAACGTTAGATATTTTTTCCATGGGGTTAAAAGGTACCTAAGTATATGGTTGCAAATGGAAAAATAGGGGACAGAATTGGGTATTGGCAAGTTTTTTTCCATTTTCATTTGTGTGTGGATTTTTAATATAAATGAGGGGACATAAAACATCAATGCGGTCAAAAAATGTTTCGGTGAACAAGTTTCAACAATTCAACTTTATAAAAAAAAATATAAATAAAACTGTCAAATTTTTCTGGACAATGCCAGCATTTGGATTTTTTTAAACAAGTAAATTTCTTATCAATGGCAACTAAATGGTGTTTGTAGCATTTTTATCATACAGTAGATTCCATCCATTCACTATACTTTTCTAACTGAGTTGTCCTACATGCAAGTACATGTTTTTAATGTTGTCTGTCTTCTGTGCTGTTCCTGTAAGTTTGCTATTAAAATACATTAAATGATGCCTGCTTTTAGTCTTGATTTTTAAATATTTCATGTGGGTTGTATTTGATTAAAAAATAATCAGCCTTCCTTTCCCTTTTTCTTTTCAATATGTGGCCTAAATACTTAGGGGAGATCTAGGAAACACTAGGGATACTATCTTGCCTGAAGTAGTGTATGTGGGGGTCTTTCTAAGAGTCTAAAATTTCTGTCTGCTCCATGTGAAAGCAAGTTTGGTGAGTATATTACTGGGTAGAGTCTGGAGCTGGACTGAGGTCTCTAAGCTACAGTGCCAAGAAAAAACAGGTTTTTTGCTGTTTAGATTCCGTTCTCACTCAACTTAGTGCTGAATTTGAAAGCATTTCTGATTTTCATGTTTTGTTAGTATGGTATAAGTGGTGGGGTGTGGTGGTTTGGGTTTTTTTTGTGTGTGGTTGGTTTTTTTTTTTTTGAAACCCTTTTGCACTTTGGTTTCTCAGTTTGTAGGTGTTCGCTTTTTGGTTGACTACCTTTGTTTCAGTCACACCCTCGAGCATGTTTGAGAGTTCAGTTCACATGTGATTAGTTTCTGTTTGTATACTCTAATCAAAAGACACTTTTGTACCATTTTTGTTAGTTACAATACTTCATAGAAGTAGTACTTAGGAGCACACATTTGAAACTTACTTTTTTTTTTTTGTATTCCCCCAATTGCTGATAAAAGTTCCTGTGAAGAAATTTACTGCTGAAATTATGTTCGATAAAAACTTGGTTTTTTTCACCTGAAACTTGGTTAAGGATTCTGACGGACTAGTCTGGAAATGAATTATGGGGTGTACTTTGTGATAGCTCTTCTGGATAATGAAATGAATTAGAGAAGAAAACATGCAGGCAGTGAATGGATTTCACCTCTATGCTAAGACCGCTGCAGAGCTTATTTGCTGCTAACTTCTTTCAAGAGGTTCCGAGTGAGCTCTTGAGCACATCAGTGAATTTGTCTCAAGATTTCCAAAGAGAATTAATAGAGATGTATTATCTGCTTTGGTATCTTGAACAGAGAGCCAAAAATTACAGAATAAATCACATTATTCATAACTTGCTCAGCTCTAGTAATGAATGCTGTCTGCCAGGGTTGTGTGGAGTACAGTCTAGTTAAATGGAGTAGCTTGTCACAGAGAAAACTAATGCTAGATAAAATGCGATCACATCCTTTTGATGCCAAGCAGTTCGTAGCTATCAACTAAAAATTAAGGAAAACTTGTCTTGGAGCATCCAGAACAACAGAAATATAAAAGGTGAGCAGCTGAGACTTAACTGATTTAAGATGTCACTTCTGTCTACTTGATAACAGCCCTGTTAAACTTACTATAAATGCATCTCAATATGGTTAACTACTTGTTTTGTCCTGTACTTCAGAATTCTCTTTCATGGATCAGTCAACAATGCTGCAACCGCCTACACAAAAAGGTAATTAGGCTGGGTGTTTTGGGGGTTTTGGTGTGGGGTTTTTGTTGTTGTTTAATAACCTGGAATTGAAATACTGATAAGGAACTTAGTTTTTTCTTTATTAGGTATATTAGAACACCAAATTTAAAGATTTTGGTACTCAAAATGAAATACTGAGTTCTTTCTCTTAGAAGAGAAAATGGAGGTGAGGAGTACCCCAGTTTAACTGACAATGCAGTTAACCTGCTCAAGGCAGAACAATTCATAATGGAAGCTGAGGCGATCGGGAATCTACGCAGTTGACAACATTTAATTGTGCAGTGCTACACCTGCAGCTTAGGGATAACCTTGTCCTCTTTGAAAGTGTTGGTTATGATGGTTGTGGTCCTAGAGATGCCATGTGAATCCTGTTAGTGAATCCTGTCTATGTCTGTTTTGATACCAAGTGTTGTCTTGGTTTTATTGCAAAGAATCTTAGGGTGTCACTTTGCTGCTCCTCATTTGTTTTTTTCAAATATGATGGATTTTAATTCTTCAGACTTTTCCACTGTTTTGTTGAACAAATTGTTTAATCTCTAGCTTTCTCACCCCCTGCCATGAGTACACTATCTTTTTGTCTTGACTGTGCAGCAGCATGAAAATAAGAACAATTAGATCATCAGCTTTCTTTAAGAACTGCTTTTTTAAAGTTGCTGGAATGGTCGGGTGTCAGTCCAACTTTGGATGGATCTTCTAGTTGATGCTGTTAAACGTTAATGGAGGAAGGAGGGTACAAAGGGTGACATTACTTTTTTTTTTTAATGCTGAGTTTAGTTATTTGGGGTACATCTTTTCCAGTGGATTTTGAAAGCTATGTCTAAGTATTGTTGGCGTAACTCATCCAGAGTTGACAGTTCACTTGTACCTGGGAGTCTCTCAAAGACAGGCCCTGCAATACAGAAGGAGCAAACAAAAAAAGTGGGGATTGGTGTTAATACAAAAGCTGCAGAGGAGGAGGAACAAGACCATCTACTGTTTCATCAATTTTTTTTCTTGTGTATTAGCATTCCTACAAAAACATTTTTTTGAAAGTGGTGGAGGGACAGGAGGGCTACATAGCACTGGAGATCCGTAGTTAGGGCACACATCGATCGTTAGAGAAGGTAGGATACACCATGTTATTTATAGTTACGTTTTAAGCTGCAGATGTTGTGATGCTGGGGTTCCCTTCCTTTGGTCACTTCAGGGTTACAGGTTCCTGCTCCCTGAGGTGAAGAAGGGCGAACAAAATAGTTCTGATCGAGTTACATGCAGTGGTGTGGTTTAAAAGTAACTGAAGAACTGTGTTTTCATCAATGCAATTTCCCCATTTCGCATGTTGCCACATGTCTGTCGTGCTGTTTGGAGAGAGCAGTAGCTGCTGGTGGCCCTGTTAGCTGCCTGCTAAGAGGCACCATTAGCTGCCTGCAGGTTTGGGCATTGGCTAAAAAGAAAATCAGCCTGTAGTCAAAAGACTGTAGGCATTGACCAAACAGGTATTGCAGCTTGTCGTCTTATTCTCCTGGGCTGCTTCCTCTGGAGCTGGCAGGTGGCGAAATGGGTTGTGGGGCGAGTTAGCTGACCTACAGGATGACAGTCCGCTAAAAAAACATTGCTCTTGGGTGTCTTCAGTGTTCTTTGGATAAAGCAAGGGGTGTTCCTCTCAGAACTGTATATATATGCCTGCTGGTTGGGTAAGATCATTTTTGAGGAAACTATTGACGAACAAATATTAATGGATTTGAAATAACTTAAGTGGTTGTTGGTTGGGTTTTGTTTGTTTTTTTGTTTTGTTCTTTTTTTTTTTCCCAGAGAAGCACACTTCTTCAGCCAGTTCTGCAAGCACTGTTTAAAGTCTTACAAGATTCTTAGTATCTACAGTTGCCGTATGTAGAAGAAACTGTAATATTTAAAAACTTAAATTCCTATTAACTTACGGCATTTTGGAGTTGTGGAGAAAGGGAATACCATCAAACTTGAATGTGGGCTAATTTAACAGTGACAGAAAAGGAAATCTGCTCATGTCACACGTACTGTATTGTCTGCAACAAGAAATTATGGTTTGCATGTGACAGAGATGTAATACTGATTTAAAGCATTATTCTGTGGAAGAAGTGGCTTCAGGTTCTTCTTTCACATCTGGGAAAAAAAAAAGTAGGCTGAACTTCAGTTCCTAAAATAGTTTACTCCCCCCCCCCCCCCCCCCCCCTTCCCCATAGCAATTCTGCTATTTCCTGGGCAATTCAGTTGCAGTTGAAATTTTGAATACTAGAAAGGAGTTGTGGTCATGTGGACATCCTTCTGGGGAGGAGTTTAACTGTATGGGGTGGAGGGATGGATGTGACCTGGCTCCTTGTTAGTGATAAACATATTTAAAGGTTGAACATCTGTTTAAGGCACACTGTTGCCTGTATGTCCACATTGCAATTTCTGAATTATTTTGTGAAGTCCTTTATCACATGTAGGTGATAATGTCAAATCCTTTATCACATGTAGGTCGTTATTTTCTCAGGGTAAATGCAAAACCTTATTTTTTTCTTAAGTTGGATGCTTTGTATTAGCAACACAATATTAGGTGATGCCACTGTCCAGGGACCAGATTTATTAATGCCTGCTGTATGACAGGTTGTAGCACCTGCTTGAAATTGGTAATGCCATCTTGTTCAGGAAGGAGAGTAAGTGCAACTGTTTCTGTTAAAATAATTGCTCACTAACAGTCTCTTACAGCGGTGAATTTTTTGGGTTGCATTTTGTAATTTGGGATTACTGTCCCAGGACATGCATTCTTGCCCTCTGACTTTCATGGGGTTTTGTGATCACTTAATGATTTGAATCCACTCTTTGGGGTGACTGAAACCAGTGTGTCTCAAACACATACTTCCTGTGCCACTGTTTTTGGTCAATTAGCCAAATAATTTGACTCAGCATATCCGCTTGATCTGAAGTGGTAAAGCAGGCAGGAGAGTAGGACTATCCATTTCCCTGGTAGCAGTATACAGTTTAGGTTCATTTTCACAATATGCTTAATCCAAACTCGTGCCTGTGCTACCACTCTGATCCCAGCTTTCCCTGCCATGCTTGCCTATCTTGACAGTTTATCTTCTGGAGCTTAATTTTAAATGCAGTGTTTAGTGAAGTACAGGTAGTGTTCAGATCAAAGATGTTGATTGCATGGTTTACTGCAATTTTATTTCTTCTTATATATAACAAACATACATGCAACTTTTCTTGGTCTTCGTAATGAGTAAGGAGTTAAAAACACTTCATATAACTTGGCTTCAAAGGCTTGAGTTCAGAGGAGGAATTCTAGTGTCAGGAAAGTTTTGTTCTGTTTTGTTTGGTGTTTTTTTTTATTATTCTGGTCCAGATCACCCTGTTGATATTGGGGAGCTGTTTGCTTAGCTTTTACTTGTGTATTATTCCTGTCACCATGTATAATGAGTCATCCTCAGTGCTGAGATTTTTCTGCACCAAGTGGATGTTGCAGACTTGTTTATGGCAGGTTTGCCTACAAACAGACGAGTATTTTGCTGAACAAAAAGCCACTGTTTTCATACATTAGTTGTTTTTTTTTTTTT